CCTGAGCAGCAGCAGCAGAAACTGTTATGAACTGACTGTAATCCACCTATCCCTGCTGCAGGGCAGAAGATAAAGCCGGGGGGGGGGGGGGGGGGGGGGGGGGGGGGGGGGGGGGGGGGGGGGGGGGGGGGGGGGGGCATGGGGGAAGGTGTTTTTAAGATCTGTTTTACTTCTCAGTATGCTGCTCGTTTTTGGATAAAATCATCTGATATCCATGAGCTGAGTCTGTTTTGCCCATGATAATAATTGATGAGTGATCTGTCCCTGTCCTTATTTCAAGTCCTGAGCCTTTAATTATATTTTTTTGTCCCCTGTCCAGTTGCAGAGCAGAGCGGTTGTGGTGGGTAGATGATATCCAGCCAGGGGCAGCCCACAACAGATTTTTTAATTCCTGAATGATCAAGAAAATTGTTTTTTGTAACATGCCAGGTGGCACTAGATGGAGGTACAGAACCAAGCTTAGTGAGAAATGCACACAGCTTCATCCTGTTCTGTTCATTAAATTGCAGCACATAGTTTCATTCATAGGAAAAGGAGGAGTGGGAAGGATATAGCATATCACAAGAAACTAGGAAAATATTTAAGTAAAGATTTTAATTCCTTTTAGGGACTGGTCACTGATTTACAAGATATCTAATTGCAAAAGTTGGCCAACCTCTCTGCCCGTATGCTGTCATATCTTGGTACAACTGCCTATATGCAGGAGGATTTGGGGCTCTCTGAGATTTAGTTTTTAGCCAATAAAGGTGTAGTTCTCTTCTCTCTGATCAGGTAGTTTAAGGTGATTTTTGTACTAGGGTGTACTAGACTGTAGTCTTTTGTTACTCCACTTGAATAAGGTAGAACAGGTTTTTTCTAACATTTAAACAAGGTTTAGACCAATGTTACTGTTCAGTAAGTGTGGGTCTGTGCACACATACATGCACCTCTAGACCTTTGTGTCCAGCCATTACAGATTTGCAGATTTCCTCATTACACATGGTGGGAAAAAAGTCTCTAATAATGGCTTCTACAGATTAGCTTTATTTTGACTACTTTTACTTTTCTGCTTCTTATTACTCAGCTGAAGAAATTCAGGAGCCTTCCAGCAGAGTGAGTCTTTCTGCTTCAAATGCAAGCTGTGTGCCTGAAGGAGTGAACAGGAGAGCCTTCAATCCCTTGCAGGAATGTTCTAAAAGTGACCCTGTGCTCCTGCACTGTCAGCTGCCTCAAGGTGACTTTTTTCTTTGTCAGTGATTGTGTAATGGTTCTTTAAAAGAAGACTTTTCAGAAGTTTGTTACATTGAACCTGGTACCTGAAGCTGTTTCCCAATAGCGCACCTACGTAACAGTACTTTGTGCTTTGCCAAACCTTCTCCACCTAACTCCTTAATCTAGCTGCTCTTTAGGATTTTGTATCTAGAAACAGGGTCTGTATCAGGGTCTGGGTATGAGGGAGGGGTAGTGGAAAATAAGGAGAGAGAGAGCACACAGGATTCTTCAGTGCACTGACATCTAAAGTATTACAAGTGCAGTTGTCAACGTGAGCAATTTAAAGCAAAATTGGCTTGGGGACTTGGAATTAGCCTATAAATTTGCTCCCCTTTTCTCAGTCTTCATATTTTAAAAAATAAAACCCTCAAAAACTTAACACAACCCATGGTGGAGAGTTAATGAAACTGCTTTGGTGTCAGTGATCTAATTCTGTTGCTGTGGGAAAACTGCTGATGAGACTACACAGTCCGTGATACTGCTGACAGTCTTGAAAAACACATCAGTCAGGGGTCTTGCAGTTTTTACTAGAGAATACTGGAATCCCCACAGTAGCTGCTGACACATGCTAGCACTCAAATGTAAGTGCCAATGGGCCATGTTAGTAACAGCCACTTATTTTGGATATTGGGAGCATGCCTATCTGGATTACACTTGCTGTTTCTGTGGAATGTTTTCATGGCTTTTCTGTATCATGTGCTTTGTCTTGTCCTCCTATCAACTTCCATCAGAGCAGCCCAGAGAATCTGCTGCTGAAGCACTAGTTACATGACACAGAACCTATTAATAGCTGTGAAAGCAGAATGCTTCTGCTGTACAGAGACCCCATGTGAAGAGCATTTGGAGCATTTTCTGGTTTTTTACTCCTTTCAATGGGGTCAAAATTTGGTAACTTGTTTACACCAAAGGCAGTGAATTTTTATTTTGACTAAAGGCAGTGAAATTGATTCTGTATTGCCTTTTGTTTAGTCCTTGCAAGGTAACTTAGAATGTTTTGGTGGGCATTAAGTTGGTTTTCTTTTTTCCACTGAATTTCTCCTTTGTAGTATTACTAGCTTCCAGCTTTACAGGTAGTAGTTTTCAGGTACTTGTCCTCTTGACTGCTAGTAACTCAAAGTTATAAAGTCTTTAGGAGACATCATAAAAGCCTTCTACCTTTATGTTTATCTTAACACTCAACATGCCTTTCAGGTCTCTTCAGAGCAGAAATAAGAGAAAGGAACCAAATGTACACAAAATGACAAAGAGCTTTCCAAAGGGGAAGAGTCCTTCCAGACGCTTTGACATGTAATATGCACTCAGTCATAGCTGTGTATTACTATTTTACAGGCATTTTATGTAAGCCCGATAGTGAGCTTTCCATGCCACCCTAACTATGCCAGACTGTTATGTTCTACAAGGTTAAACCATGCACTGCATCCTCATTGAATCAGGAGGGGAATCTTTGGGAATACCATCAACAGTGTGGATTGTTTGTTTTGTTTCATCTTTGTCTTCAGGGCAATTGCTCAACTGTGAAACTGCAACACTCAATGATATAAATCCACTGAACACTGTCTTGAGGAAGAATTCAAGAGCAAAAGCTTCAAGGGGAAGACTCCAATCTCTGATAAGACTATAAGTCTTACACGGACACTAAACAGCATGTGGCACGGATCCTTGAGCAGTCCTGCAGCATAAGCCCAGACATACATGACTTGGTGGAAAATATAAAATCTGGTTTTAAAATCAGATGAGAAACACATGGCAGAAGCTGTCGCCAGTGGCACTTTCCTTGAGCAGGTAGTTTAATTACTTGTACTGATCAGATGATGTGGAAACACACTGCCCCTGATTTGGAAGTATAGCTTTCCATTTGCCAGTCTGTGTATCAAGAGTTTTTGGACTAAACTGGGTTCTTTCAGCACTTTAGTTTCATGTACAGAGTGACATTTCTTACTCTATCAGCTAGAAGCCAGATTATGTGTATTTAAAAAACAAGTCAGTCTTCTAATGAGGAATCATGAACTGTAAATAACATAACAGCATTTTATACTGAGTCTGGCAGGAGGGAGGAATAAGATGTTATAAACAAGCATTTGCTATTGCAAACCAGTAGGAATGGAGGCTGACAAGGAAATTTTTATGTCAACCCACTAGAAGCAACTTTTTTGTGACTGGCTCCCAGGATAAAAATAAGACCTAGTATTAAAGAAGGTAAAACAGAAAATAGACAATAATGTGCAGAACATTAATGGAATGAATATCCAGACGTTTCAGACACTGCCGACTTCATTAAACAAATGTTTCGGTAACTTGCAGACCATTTGAGTAGATAAATTGATTCATGCATAGCACAAGTGATTTAATATGACAGGTGGTTTTGGTTTGGGTTCTCATGCAAAATGCATCAGTATCATTTAGGACCTGCAAATAAAGTGGGATTTCCCACTTCAGGCAGCAAAAGCTGAAAAACCTTCAGGCAGCAAAAGCCTTGATAAATTTGACAGAAACAGGAGGGAAAAGGCTCTTTATGAGAATTTAATTTATCACACAGGCCTGAAGGTTATTACAGTTCAGTGGCTTCTGCAAGGAAGCAACATTAAGTTACTTCTAAACAATACCAGATATGCCATAGATTGGAGTTAGAGCACTCATCTGCACCTTTGAGGGGAAAACCAAACCAGCCTAACAAAAACCCCACAAACAACAACAAAATAAAAAATCACCCCGCTCCTTCTCCCAAGTCCCAAGGACTGCTGCTCCCATGCCTCGTTGGCAAACGCTAGAAGTTTTACAGCTTTTTAAATTATACTTTAAAAATAACAGACAACACTACAACTAGCTTTTTCCTACTTGGGTAAAATCTATTTTAACAGAACAGGAACCTGAAAACAAAACCGATTTAAACTTCTCTTTACTTTTTAAAGGTGATGATACTTGCCCAGCAAGCCACATCATTGAGAGTCATGTGTTACCTTACAGATTGCATCCTGGATTGTTGTACCTAGAGAGCTGCGGTGACTCAAGTACTTTCATCACAGAGGGAGAACAGCTAGCAGAGAGGAGGAGCAAAACATGCCTCACAGTGTTATTGGTGTTGTCAGAAAAACTGTGCTTTGAGCTGGCTTTCTGGCTTTTTGGTTATTCTTCAGCAGAGCACTGCTGTCAGACATATACATACTGCAGAGGAAGATCATCTCTGGCAAATGGGTGGATGGGTTTGTCAGTAATCACCTTCTTTTTTAATACTCATATGCACAGACCCCAAAGGGTGAAGATCATTCTGCAGAGTGAATAAGCTGGCCTTTACTGGGCTCTCAGCTGCAGCTCGTCTGCTTGTAATGCATTGGTGCCCTGCATCTCTGTGAAGTTTGGAAACGTGTAGTTGTGGGGTATGATGATACATCACCCTTGTGGAAGGAGCTGTCAAAAGTGGTATTGAAGAACTTCGCAAATTTTTGTTACTTTGGTTTAAATTAAAATCTCCTATCATAAAATGGAGATCATCAGATACAAACTAAGTAAAACAATGGTGTAAAGAATTCTAAAATTATTCTTTATAAAAGAAGGTTGTTGATGTGCAAACTGGAATAAAATAAAATCTGTCTCGAAGAAGGGCTCCTTTGGCTCAGTGAACTTCCCTCTTAATGGCAGAACATTATTTTTGTCTTAATGGTGGAACAACATCCAAACCCAAAAGCACAGATGTTTTGCAACAGGTGGTGCTGGCTTGTTACTGTCCCAGGAAGAAAGACATCTCTATGTAGTCTCATTTAAAATGTTTTTTATTACAAGAAGTGCTATGAACAAAGAAGCTGGTATAGCTAATTTTATATTCCTTCAAGCGCTGGGAACCCCAGACTGTGCAGCATCAGGCAGGGCACAAGTTTTGCAGATCCCAACCTTTTACCTCATTTAAGTCTACGCATCACTTCTATAGTCAAGCAAAAGGTCTTTTCACATGGGACCTTACTGCTGCTGCTCTAGACAAAGGCAGGGGCTCACAGGTATTGCTGGGTGGTGTTTACCATTTTGAGTACCACTGGGGCTACCTGCAGGCTCCTTTCTTAAAATAAACAATCTAAATTTGTTCTGCAGCCAAGGGACATTCCTGGAGGTCCATCTGTAGGAGCAGCACAAAGCACAGCACAGGCCTGGCCCTACTCAGGTAATAGGCACAACTCTTCTGTAAAATGATTTTAGGTCAGGATTGCTCCATATACTTCTGCACTGAACATTTATTTAAATTATCATCCCAGCCCTGACATTGACATTGTCAGTACACTGTCAGTCACCAGCATCACCTCTTCAGCCTGCAAGGCTCTACTGGGTGCTGGAACTGAAGTGGGGTCAGCTTGTCCTCTGTGTGGATCCAAACTATCAAAACACCGAAGGAGGGGGCAAGAAACATGTCCCCTGTGAATACAGCAAATTTGCAAAAGTTTTGTCTGTACTGCTAAAGTAAGGGCTTATGTTTATTCACCAAAATTCAGAAAAGTTTGTAACACAGAAATTGGTATGTACAGATAATGGTAAGAATAAATAGGCTGGTACACAACGGAATGCAGAACGCAAGATCGACCTGTCCACTGCACCCTTTACCAGGGACTTTACAAATTCTTCTGTCTGTCATTTAAGCAACTAAGTTGAAATACTTCATTCTCTCATGTTAATGGTATTTCTAGTTCATATTACAAATAGCCACAAAATGGCTGAATGCCCATGTTTAGTTTTCTTCTGAATCAGCTGTGGCATGTATTGTCATTTCTGTGGTTTCAAAGTACTCATGAAAACCTATGAGGCACAGAAAATCCTATGAAGCCTCACTAGAAGAAATACTCCATGGATGACTTTTTTTTGTTAACTCTCAAATATGATAATATTTTTCATAATCTCTCATATATTTTTATTTTATTACTATATATTTTAAATAAAGGTTTTTAACCTTAGCAAAGGCTAAGTTCCAGGATTAATTCTAGGGACAGACATATCACAATTCTACTTTTTATTTATTCAAATGGTGTTAGGTCTTTAATAATAAACCATGCTGATGACATTTAAAGGAAAACAGTTGTTTCAGAAATTAGGTGTGAAGTATTTTTATCAAATCTCCATTTATGAAAAATTCCTATTTAAAGTTATTCAGTCAGAGAAGTAATATTTCTATCAAAATCACAGTGGCATTTCACACAGTAAAAACTGGGATACCACCTTAGATTAGGAATCACCTTTGTTCAGGAGCACTAGTGTCATGTATTGCCTGAAAAGAATGCTGTTTTAACAATAAAGGTAACAGCACTGTTTCACGTCTGCAGAAATACAGATTAGAATTACTCCAGACTAAGTGGCAGAAAGAAGTTCAGACACCTTCCAATTATGTATGCATTCAGCATTGGCAAGTCAGCCTCTAGGTCAGTATGAGCAAATTCTCAGCCTTGTCTGAGGTATTTTTGTTTTGTAGTTTATTGTTGCAAATCTTACAGACATTAGCGCTCTGTTAAATAAAGGAATGTAGCACAGTAAATACATCACAACAAAATAACTGGCCAGAAACCCCTTACCCTGTCCCATCCAAAGCAAAAAGCCTACTCTTCTTCCCTCTGTCTCTCCCCCAAATCAAACCAGCACAGCTTCATTAGAGAGGTCAGAGACCTGTGGCAGAAAACATCAGAGTAATTACATTCAGTAGATGTGCAATATCAACATTCCAGGCTCACATATATTTATATATATATTTATATTTTTATATAGAGATCATTAAATGTTTACAAAGAACAATATTGTTACAAATACAATACTATGCTTTTCTCAATGCTTTGCAATAATTTCTATTCATCCTCTTTACAGAACAATAGTACAACTTCATAGTCTAGGTACTGCGCTAAATATATACAAGAGATCTCAACCATGTTGTGGTCTTGAGAAATACACTACTTTTAGAAAAGAAGGAAAGCTAGCAAACTTGGAAATCCAAACTGAGTCTCCAACAAGATCAAAACAAACGTGAAACTTCTCAAAAATAAAAAAATACAAGGGATGTTTCATCCTTAATGTAAACACTGAAGAGTTAACTAGACTATACGAAGCAGCAAGGATGAAAGAAAAAGAATTCAGGTCTGTCACTAAAGAAGGAATGTAAACCTTTGAAGGAATGTTCCTTTGCATCTGTTAAAAATCCCCATATCTGATCTATCATACCGCTGCAACAATCTAGAGAACAGCCAGCTTTCCCGTTTGAGTTCCATTTTCTTGAAACTCTGTTTACAGAGTAAAATGGGATTGTTTACAAGACTGTTCTCAGAAGTGTGCACACACTATGGACCTCTCAGTTTAGAAATCTTATGCACATACTGCAATTGAAAAAATGAGATATTTTTTTGCTAAGCTCTGGTCCTGCAAGCATTCATTTGCTTAATTTTAAGCACTTATTTAGGATGAACAGTAGCTTCACAAACCCCTGGCTGCAAAATGTCCAAAGAAACAGTGGTTTCTTAATACATTTGCATATTCAGATCTTCATAATTTTCCCGTGAAGTGAGCTAAAGACTTCACCACAGAAGTGGGCTAGACAGAACCACAGAAACAAGTGAAGTGGAGGGCATACACATAGCAGGAACCAGAAGCATAACTGTGTCGTCAAGCATTCACAAAGTTTCCTCAGGCAATTTATGGAAAGGCTGCACTGTATATAATCTTCCAAATTGTACATGGTTATATACGATATTTACATTTATTACTATATATATGGAAAGTTCTAGAAAAAGGCTTCAAATTAGCATAAACCAGATGTCTACAGTTAAACATACTCACAAGCCATTAATTATCTTGTTGCATCAGTGAGGCAGCAGAGTTAAGTACTAACCTGGAATACTAACACCATTCTCTTGTGCAATCTGCTATTCTGGAGTCTTGGATTAAATTATATAACAACAAGAAATGCAATAAAATCAAGTCATTGTACATTAATCTCAACACTAAAAACATATCCCCTTACTACAACAGTTTATGCACCACTTCATTACATCCCTTAAGTATCTGCTTCCCACAGAAATACAGTTTATCCTCTAACTCTAGGCCGTGGTTAGCCATGACTTCAGAAAGCCAAAACACATACCCCTGACAAGAGTGCTCAGTGGTTCTCAGCAGTGTTTGCAACAAGTGCACATGCACACACCCACTTCCATGAATCCCCATCGCAATGTCTAGGATCATCACTGGACTGCAAGCAACGCTTACATTGCACAGCTCACGTCACAACAAGTGAGACACAAGTGACTATGAACAACACCACATTTGCAAAGCAGAAGTGGCATGTGGCTGTGTGTTGTCTTGTTTTCATCTCGCTGAGCCTTTCCATCACAGCAAAACACAGCACAAACTGTTTCTTTAAAAGAAATCAACGTACTAGCCTGGACTAAATACATGGTTCAACTTCAGTATAAACACCAGTATGCAGTCCTGAAAAAAGTAACTACAGAGAATGTAGAATTCTCTAACTAGGAAGAAAAGACACTTCTTTTTTATTTTGAACCCTCTTAAAAAAACCAAAGAACCCAACCCAACCCCCTTTTCCCCTTTTGTGTCTAGCATGCAACTTAGAGGCTAATCAAATACAAGATTTCATACATCCCTACAGTTAATCATCTTCATACAAGTGCATATAGTACACACATATCTCTTGTAAGTGCCATACATATGGGAAAAAATCACAAGCTAAATTATATAACAAAATAAATAAGTTTATTCCTGCCTCATCCTTTCAACTGTTACCTATATCATGAACTAAATAGGAAGTCAATAAAATTAGACAGGTCTTTGGACAAAAATATATGTTAAAACTGGCTCAGAGAACAAAATTACTTAGAATAGTCTGCAGATCTCTTATATTCAAACTTCATAAATAGGAAGCACAATTTTAAAAATGTCTATATACACTGGCACACATGGCTATGTGCACCAAAAATGGAATTAATAGCCTAGAAAAAGTGTAGCTATTCAGCAGATCCCCTCAGTATTTTTCTTGTGGCTATTTAAAGATTCTCCCCCCAACACTTCTTTAACCTCTAAAATCCGGAAGGGACTATAAAACACAAAGCTGGCAAAAACTAGGAGATAGAAACATGGGGGCAGAGAGGGGGAGGCAGCTGTAAAAAAATGCCTCCCAAATTTCTTAGTGTAAGTAATGCAAGAATAACATGTTTCAGGAACTTACAGAGTATCTTTCTACTAGATAGTATCTACTATCATGAAGAACTGATGACAGAGGGGAATTAAAAGATGTGCATTTGGACAATTCATTTTACAACAGCAGCATTTACTGAGTCTTTATAAGCAGGCAAATTTTCCTGAGGGCAAAATAATCCTTTTGGTATTCTACTTTCCCCATAGAAACAAACCTTTAGTACTAACCTTTAGTACAAACCTTTAGTACTTTGGTGCCTGTGAGAAAATAGGGTAAGAGAAGCAAAGTCACAGGCAGGATTCCCAAGAGAACACCTTTCACCCTATACTTCAATCTATTTGGTAAAGTAATTGTTTTTCATTCAGCAACATTTAATTTACTGTTTGTAAAATTACAGCCACAGAAATAAAGCTGATTATGTAGCATGAAATAGAGCTATCTGTGAATACTTCTGTAAACTATGCTGCTTTTATTTTCCTGTTTTGCATGTAGAGTTGTATGAAGTTTCATTTCTAAAAACATGTAACCAAAATAGTTCCACAGATACATTTTGCCCCTTATCAAAATGCAGGAAAATGGTGGGAAGAAGAGGAAAAAGGGATGAAAGGGAAAGCAACAGTGTATTTGTGTCTGTGATCAGGGGGAAAGAAATGTATTTGCAGACACAGAAATGCAGCACTAGAGAGACAAGCACTAATGAGGAAAAACATCTTCCATGCACGCTGTGGTGGTGAGGTGTCGGCTTCAGATGTAAACTGGTTGCTCTTGTGCAGTCAACAGTCTGTACATGGCAGCTGGCATAGTCTTCATATGGATCTAGAGGAAATAAGCCAAGTTAATCGATGTTTCTAAACATGCACACCTGGGTGAAGGACCCAGATAAGGTCATACAAGGTAGAAAAAATAATAAAACTTGAGAATTTTCATACCCTTATTAAAGTATTGCAGGTGATGATTTTAAGAAATAGTATGTTTAGATAGAACAGGTTGCTTAGAGCACTATCCAATCTGGCCTTGAACACTTCCACGTATGAGGCATCCACAGCTGCTCTGGGCAACCTGTTCCAGTGGCTCACCAACTTTATAGTGAAGGATTTCTTCCTATACCTGATATAAATCTACCCTCTTTCAGTTTAAAACCATTGCCTATTGTTCTGCACTGTCTCCAGTGGTAAAAGCACTGTCTCCCTGGTAAAAGCCTTTCTCTATTTTTCTCAGAAACCCTTTTTACACATTGAAAGGCTGCTGTCAGGTCTCCCTGCAGCCTTCTCTTCTTCAGGCTGAACAATCAAACCTCTCTCAGCTTTTTCTCACAGGAGAGGTGCTTCAGCTCTCTCACCCTTTTGAAGGCCTGCCATCTCTAGCTGCTCAAGCAGGTTCATTTGTTTATGCTGAGGGCCCCAGAACTGCACACAGTACCCCAGGCGGGGTCTCTAAAGAGCAGAATACAGAAGGAAAATCACCTCCCTGTTGGCCACACTGTTTTTGATGCAGCCCAGGATACAGTCGGCTTTTTGGGCTTCAAGTGTCCATTCCTGGCTCATGTCCAACTTTCCTTCCACCAACTTGCTCTTTTCAGGGCTGATCTCAATCCCTTTAGCCCCAGTCTCTATTGCTGTTGGAGACTGCCCATGCCCAGAGGCAGGACCTTGCACTTGGTCTTGTTGAACTTCACAAAGGTTACATGGACCACTTTCCTAGCCTGTTCAGGTCCCTCTAATGGTAGCCCTTTCCTTAAGCACCGCTGATCTTGATGTCACCTTCAAACTTGCTGAGAGTGCAACTCAATCCCACTGTCCATGTCACTGATGAAGACATGACAGACAGAGTGCTGGTCCCAATACAGGCCTTTGAAGGACACTGCTTGTTACTGGTTTCCATTGGTTGTTACTGGTGACAGCAATGAACTCTACTATTCTGCCTAGACACATTGCTGGTTCTTACCTCACCAACAGCATTTGAGAGGATGTGAACAATTTTCTCATGGGGTGTTGCTACAACGCTCTGCCCATTGATTTCAATGATTCGATGGCCAACACGCACACCTCCTCGTTCTGCTATGCCTCCTCTCATAAGGCTACAGATCTGCAAGGGAGAGCACAAATTTATCATAGGCTGGGTAAGGAACAGACACTTTTGACTACTCATTTTTTGCCTGCAATATATGAATCAACATTTAAACAGAGACTTGAAACAACAAATTCAAAGATGCAATCAAAAAAAATTTTTAAAAAGTGGATTCTTTCTTCCAAGAGCAGACCAAACTGTCAGAAAAGGCTGTTTGTGTTGTACATTACATGTCTTGTGGTTTGGAAATTTATGAGCGTATGAAGGACCTTGATTTAATCATATTCATTAGGCAGATGCCTTACAACAAAAAGAATCAAGAACTGGCTTTTTTTTGAGATTATGCAATGGCTTGGTTAAAGACATATGTGATGCATGCTGAAAGCAGACTCTTCCCACACATTTTTGGTTTTTTAAGCTGAAACAATGTTTTTATTCCTCTGGCCAACTGTGAAGTAAGTAGAAGAAAAGACAAAAAAACCTCTGATTAACACAACTTTTATATCTAGGACTGAACAAATGCAAAATTCTGCTTGCTATAAGGGAGAAAATAGCAGCTTCCTTCTTCTCACACTGAAACTTAACCACAAGTGGGGAGGAAGTTTCATGTATGTTAAAGCTTGATCAGAAACTATGGAAGCTACTTACAATCCCATTCTGCACACTGAAGCCCAACTGATATCTGAGGTCTGGTCTTCTGATCAAGACTGTGGTTACTGGAGGACATCTAACGATGTTCAGTTTAACCCGAGCCTGGTTTTTCAAACCCTGAAAAAAAATACCAAACTGAGAGTTAAACATGTAATATGAGAAAACAACAACAAAAAAAGTGTTAGAAAGCTGACATGGGAGCAGACTTGAAAAAAATACGTCTTTGTATGCATTGTATCAGAATCTGATCACTGAATGCCAGACAAAGCAACAGAATATTCAGTGAGATGAGTGATAAAACATCAAATTTTTCTTGCCAAAAATCTGGCACAGTTGTTTTAGGAAAACTAGATTCCTGCTGGCAGTTTCTTCATTTGATAACAGAAACCATGCATAAAAAGAGTATTAAAACAGGTCTATGAAGCTCACCAAATAAGTAAATGACTTTTAAATTATTAAGTTAGTTACCAAACAGTTGCTTCCCTAATGAAATACACTAAATTCAGTCAAGCAAACAGCAGGTCCCCCTTGTATCATCCTTGTATAAGCAACACTCACGTAATTTCCATTATTCACAGAATCACAAGATGGGTACTGGTGGAAGGGACCACTGTGGGTCATCTGCTCTAACCTCCCTGCTCAAGCTAGATCATCCCAGAGCACCTGGCACAGGATTGTATCCAGGTGGGTCCTGAGTATCTCCAGTGAGGGAGATTCCATATCCTCCCTGGGCAATCTGTTCCAGTGCATGGTCACCTACACAAGTTATTCCTTTACGTTCTCATAGAACTTCCTGTGCATCAGTTTCTGCCCATTTCCCCTTGTCCTACTGCTCAGCACCCCAAAGAAGAGCCTGGCTCCATCCTCTTGGCATCCTCCCTGCAGATACTTGCACTGATGAGATCCCCTCTCAGTTCTCTCTTCTTGAGGCTGAACAGGCCCAACTCCCTCAGCCTTTCCTCAGAAGAGAGATATTGCAGTCCCTTAACCATTTTTGTACCACTGCCCTGGCCTCATTCCTGGAGTTCCATGTCCTTGTTGTGCTGAGGAGCCCAGAACTGGACACAGCACTCACAGGGCTGAGCAGAAGGGCAGGATCACCTCCCTTGAGCTGCTGGCAGTGCTCTTCCTGATGCACCCCAGGACACCACTGGCCTTCTTGGCCACACAGACACGCTGCAGGTTCATGGACAACTTGTCCACCAGGATCCCCAGGTCCTTATCCACAGAGCAGCTCTCCAGCAGGTCAGCCCCTGTCTGTGCTGGTGCATGGAGTGGTGCAGGATCAAGCGTTTGCCCTTGCTGAACGTCAGAATTTTCCTCTCTGCCCATCTCTCCTGCCTGTTGAGGACCCTCTGAAGGGCTGCACAGCACTTGGGTGTCAGCCACTCCTCCCAGCTCAGAGTAATCAGTGGACATGCTGAGGAGGCATCTGCCCCTTCATTGAAGACACTGATGAAAAACTTAAAAAATACTGCACCAGTATTGAACCCTGAGGGATACTGTTACCCAGAGGCCCCCAACCCAACCCTGTGCCATTATGACCCTCTGGGACCTGCCATTCAGCCAATTCTCTATCCACCTTGCTACCCCATAACCCAGTCCACACTGCCTGAGTTTGCCTACAAGATGTTGAGTGAGCCAGTGTTGAAAACCTTGCAGAAGTTGAACATCCACTGCTCTCCCTTCATCCATTCAGGTAGATGTTCTTCCATAGAAGACAATTAATTTAATGAGGCGTGATTTACTTTCAGTGAATCCATGCTGACTACTGCTGATCACCTTATTGTCATCCACATGGACAGAGATTGCCTCCAGAACGAGGTCTCCAACCCCTTTCTCAGGGATAAAGGTGAGGCTGACTAGACAGTAGTTCTCTGGTTCTCTATCTTGCACTTTCTGTAGACCAGCATGACATTTGCTTTTCTCCAGTCCTCAGACATGTCTCCAGATTGCCATGAACTTGCAAGTATTATGGCCAGGACCCTTACTGTGGTGTTTGCAGCTTTCTCAGCATTCATGGATGCATTGTATCAGGGCCCATGGATGTGCAGATTTTGAGTTTGCCTAGGTGTTCTCTAACTCAATTTTCCTTGACCAAGGGAAAATACTCCTTCCAATATTCCTTTACCCTGACTTCCTAGTTCAGAGATTCCTGAGGGCTGGTCTTGACAGAGAACACCAATCCAAAGGCACTGTTCGATAACTCTGCCTTGTCTGTGTCCTCTGTCATCAAGATGTCCCTTCCATTTAATAACAGGTCCACATTATCCTTTGTTTTCCTTCTATTGCTGATGCATTTGAAGAAGCCCATCTCATTTTCCTTGACATCCTCAAGGATTCCAAATGGGCCTTAGCCTTCCTTGTCTCATCTCTCCATAGTCTGACAACCTCTCTACATTAATTCCAAGAGGCCTGACCCTGCTTCCATCTCCTGTGTATTTCCTGCTTATGCTTGAGTAATGACAGGAGTTCTTCATTTATCCATGCAGGTCTCTTGACTCCTTGTCTGACTTCTTGCTCACTGGGATATGTACCTCTTGAACTTGGAGGAAGTGATCCTTGAATAGCAACCTTCCCTGCAGGACCTTTTCCCATGGGATTCTGTCAATATCCACAAAGAGGCTAAAATAAGCTCTCCTGAAGCCCATGGTTGCAATCTTACTTGCTCACATGCTGGCCCCAACCTTCACACCTCCAACAAGCCCTTTCCTGTTTGTTGGATGAGGTCACACAGCACACCCATTTCTTGTGGGATCCTGGAACACCAGTGACAGGAAGATGTCATCAGTGCTCTCCAGGAACCTCCTGGATTGTTTGTGCTTTGCTGTGTAGCTTCTCTAGAAGATGTCAGGGTAGTTAAAGTCCCCTACAAGACCCATGAGCTGGTGACTTCAAGGCTGATTTCAGCTGTCTGTAGAAGGCCTCATCCACCTCTTGACTAGGCATCCTGTAGCACACACCCACAAGTGTCACCCTGAGCAGTGTGTCCTGTTATCCAAACCTTTAAAGTATCTACTCACTCATCATCTACCCCAAGACAGAGCTTGATACATTTCAAGTACTCTTCCTCCCTCCAATTGAGTTATATCACATTCTTCATTAGCTCCTTGCTACTATAAAAAAAATGAATGAGAAAAAATGATTTTTACTGTCAGGGTGGTAAAACACATATTAACCAGAGAGGCTGTGGAGTATCCAGTCTTGGAGTTACTTAAATCCTAGTGAGCACAGCATTAAGAAGCCTGCTCTACTTTGAACAAAAATGTTGGTCTAGACCAGCTACAGGAGTGACTGCCAGACTCAGAGATTGTGTTCCTATGTCTCAGTTAAAACAAAAATGTAATAAACCACAAATAAATGCCATCTTGTCCCCTTGTACAACTTCAAGTACTCAGAGCTCTTGGAGATTGTTAAGAGAGAGTTTTGAAATGCTTAAGTCACACAAAATATAACCCATAAATCCATTCATAAAGAAAAAGAACAAAATGATTTCTAAAAAATACAGCAACTTTCAGCTCGCTTAATTAAATACCTACCAGTTCCAGTATCTGCTTCTGAATTCCTTTCATATGTACAGTTGAAATCTAGGTCCCACTGCAATCAAGGTGTCAGACACTGACTTCAACTGAATTCTGGAATACAGTAGAAACTACTGTAGCTAAGGTAATCTACGGAAGTCTCAACATATAGTTTACTGCTGCTGATTCTGTTGAGTTGAGCTCCAGATTCAGCAGTGATTCGAGTAACTAAACTGGCATCCTGGCATGATGAACTACCTTGAAGTCTTGTCAATACCTTAAACTGGATGTAATCAACACTGGGTGCAAACAGCTGTCCACACCGTGCTGAGCTCATCTTGGCTCATTCTTGCAAGTTGCTGCAAGACAGTGAATGGGTGTCTGATCACAAAATGACAAAGCTCATGGCTGTAGGAGCTGCCCGTACTGCACACTCAGGAGAAAGAAGGTCTGAACTCCACCTCTTCCATGACTATGGACTCTTCTAATCTGGTGAAGAATTAGCATTGCACCTCACATGCTCAGGAGCTATTCACTTAATTTAGGCAGGTCTTGACAACACCACATACTGTAGAGAACAGGGACTTCTCAACTACGCTGTGGGCATGATGTTTATGGAAAAGTCTAAGGGACTTTGGACTCAGTGTTCTAATCCTGAAAGGTAGGAGTCATGCAGAGTACTGGCATGCCCATTTCCATGAGGAATTTAAGTGTCTAACTTCAGTCATCTGAATTCACTCAGGGTACATGCCCAGAATGGATTTGATGTCATCATTCCCTTACTTCTCTGATGAAGTAAGTTACTTACAAGTATTCCCTGGGAAAAAAAAAAATAATGTGGTCCCTAACAAAAAATTATTTTAATTTTACAGAAAGTGCATATTTTTCAGAAGTTGATAATCTTCAGTAGTATACAGACCAGTAACATAAACTGATCAGAAACAAAATAACTGTATTTTGACCACCTTTCTTTGTTTATCTAGTTCATGAGTATACTTCTGACAGTAACCAGTATCAGATGCTTCTGAAAAAAACAGAACTAGCATAATCCTATTAGGGAATAGCCACAACACATGGAAAGCTTCTTCCAAGCTCCATCAGTTTGCAATTGGTTTATGGTGAATTAGGAGTAGAGATTACATTCATAACACTGAATTATCTTGTTTAAAGTGCTTGTGACATATGTTTATCCACATAATATCATCATCTTTTCACAGGAGTCCTTCCAGCATGCTAAGGAAATCTGAAATCTGCGATATTTCTATCACATTTAATGATCCGCACTTAGATCATTCATATATACATACTTGTTTCTAAAAGTGCTATATGAAGAACTCCAGATGTGTGGTTATGAAGATCTGCAAACATACAGATCATCTCTTTAGAAAGACAAAAAAAAGCCAGCTGGCAGTTCCTGTAGAAACTGTGGTAATTATCAGGGAAGAAGAGAAAGGCCTGCAGAAGCTGGATACAGCAAAGCTGGTTGGTTCTGTATTGAGAAAGTAGTACTGATGAGCACAACAAAATCTCCATATGAATAAGGGAAGTATAACTTAACACAGTTTAAGAAATAAAAATTACGTGGGATAGGAAGCAACCACAAACAGCCTAAATTTGCAGGGAGTTTTGTTTTGATGATGCGGGTGCAAAGATATCTACTAAGATTTTTTTTCTTCCTTTCTTTACATATATAAGACTCTTTTTGCCATATTTTCAGTTTGTCACACATGCTATCATTCCTACTCACTGAATCTAAAATGACTGGTTCAGTGACTTATGCATCTATTAGTTACCAGAACTCAATATTAACATTTTGGGAAGCCTGAATGGAAAATCTTCATAACAAACATCTTAGTTCAAGTATTAAGAGATAATTCACAAAAAAAAAAAAAAAAAAAAGTACTTTTTTTTACTTAGCAAATTTACTTTGTAATGGAAATTTGTTTTGCAATAAAAAAATACAAAGTGAAAGAAAAGTTACACAATAGAACTTGTTATCAAAGAGTTGCCTAAATTTAAAGTCTAAGAGGTACATTTTTAAAAATCAGGGAAGAATGCTTGCATAATGTACCACCAGCATTATGCATCTTCATCTGATGATCTGCAGAGCTAGGCAGGACCATTTCAACAAATAACTAATTTCAATGAATAACTAATGAACTTTGTCTCAAACACTCTCTAGTGATGTATCTTTCCGGCTCTTTAAACAGTGATGTTGAAATACTTATTCCTTTATATGCTACAGCCGCCCCAGGCACTGTCCAGTTCCAAATGACCTGCAAGCTTTTCACTGTCACATACTTTCCTGACAACTAGAAGAAAGGTCTTCCAATTAAAATGCCCCATTTATGCAAGTGAAGAGAAGCATCAAATAAGAGAAGCACTTTGAAATTACTTGTCCAAAGATGCCACAGAGGATATGTCTTTAAGCCAAAGTTTTAAAGCTTTAAAAATAGGTATAAATAAACAAACAAAAAAGCATTTACTCTATTTCATCCAAATACTAAGAGGTATTTGACAGCTAGTAAGGCTTACGACAATATTAGGCACCTGTGCCTACCACAGGTACCTGTGATACACAATTTCAAGTGTATACCTGGTAATACCTTCCTTCTACACAAAATATTTCCTTGTGAAGTTGTGTACAGAGCCCTGGTACACAAGTAAAATAGCACAGCAGTCAGGAATGGCACTGGATATTGTCATTCGATCAAGATTATTTATGCTGTCCCTCAAGATAACCTCAGCCAAGCTCAGGAAGTGGGTGTGAGATGGATTGAGAACTGGCTGAATGAGAGCTCAGAGAATTGGGACCAGTGGCACAGGTCTATTTGGAAGTGTGTATCGAGCAGTGTCTCCCAAGCTTCAATACTGGGCCCAATCTTACTTATCATCAGAGATGGAGTGCCTCCTAAGCAAGTTCACTGATGACACAAAAGCCGGGATGAGTGGGTGATACCCAAGCACTGTGCAATGTTTCCGAAGGACCTTGACAAGCAGGAGAGGTGGGGAGAAAGGAAATTTCTGAAAATAAACAAGGGCAAATGCACATAGGGAGAAATAACCCCAGGCCCAGCACAAGCTGTCCATGAGCCAGTAGCCAAGAAGGTCAATGGTGTCCTAGGGTGCATCAGGAAGAGCACCGGCAGCCGCTAGAGGGAGGATCCTGCCCCTCTGCTCAGCCCTGTGAGGCTCATCTGGAGTGCTGTGTCCAGTTCTGGGCTCCTCAGCACAAGGATATGGAGCTTCTAGAGCAGGCAGGTCCTGTCAAAGGCTATCATTAGGGCACTGGAGCACTTCACTTAGGAGGAAAAGGTTTACAGCTGGACTCAATGATCTTAGAGGTCTTTTCCAACCTGAAAAATGCCACAGTTCTGTGAAAGGCTGAGGAAGCTGGCCCTGTTCAGCATTGAGAAGAGACAGCTGAGAAGGGACCTCATCAATGTGTGTATCTGAGGGGAGGATGCCAAGAGGATACAGTCAGGCTTTTTTTAGTGGTGCTGAGCAATAGAATGAAAGACAAAGGGCCAACAGGGAATGCAGGAAGTTCCACCTTAACATGAGGGAGAATTTCTTTCCTGTGAGTGAAACTGAGCATAGGAACAGATTTTCAGAGAAGCTCTGGAGTCCCCTTCTCTGGAGATATTCAAAAGCCATTGGTACACAGTCTTGAGTAAGATGCTCTAGGCAACCCTGCTGGAGCAGGGAAGTTGGATTAGACTACTTCCAGTGGTCCCAAAATTACCCATTCTGTGGTCCTGTGGGGAGACAGAAAATTTGTGTAGCATAATTCACGCTGCTTTTTAAGATCATTAAATGGAAAGTGCTGTGCAAACATTTGTAAGAATTTACTTCAGAGATTTATACTTTCTGCTCTTCAATTATGTCATCATTTTAAAATGTGTAGCTTCCAGAAACATCTTCCCTACCTTTATAATGCTCTGACATGTTGAGAGTGGTAAACCAACCAAGCTGGTCCCATTGATTGACATGATCTGGTCCCCTATGTTCAGTTTCCCAGACTTCTCTGCTGGTCCTCCATGCATCATGTTGGCTATGATAACTGTAGGCAAAATGGATCCCCAGCCAGACTCCACAATCACCACACCTAGAATTTCTCCCTTTTGCTTTTCAATGTAAACCTGTATAGTAAGAAAAAGTGTTTAAAAAAAGAGTTTCTTTCACACCCATGGAACTAATATCATCCCACTCCAAGCATTCACAAAGCCAACAAATATATCCCTCTTAATCTGCAACCTGTCTTCTTAATTCAAAAGCAAAGCAAGATAGGCTACATGTTTTACTACCTTTCATTTGCATTCAAACATTAAATGACACACAATACAGACTTAGTGCTGAACACCCCTCAGAAGTAATTTCTGTTTATGAGAAGAAATTCCAGTAAAGGAAATCCTGGTGCCATGGGCTTTTTTGGACAAAGCTAAACAAGAAGAGATTGAAAGAGTTTACAACTTTGCATTGAAAAAACATGACCTGTGTGTTCCAGTTGCACACTGGTTCATTTTTACTAAGCAAGCTGCAAAGCCTTCTGGTCCATACACTTATTTAAAACCTGGAATCAATCATGTTCATAAACAATGATGCATCTATAAATTTTATGTTGTTCACTGGAATTTTTTCTAATTGTATTAATCTGTTAATCAGCTTTATGTTTGCTTACAAACATGTTTGAATTTTTTTTTGGTAAAAATAACAGAACCAGATGGTAAATCAGTTGACTGCTGATGAATTTTGGGTTCACTGTTTGTCTTTGAAACAGAACTGATGACAGGGTGTCCTATTATGGAGGATATTCTAGACTAACTGAGATAATCTACAGGAAGTATTAATGTTTTTTTTAGTTTCTGCCAACACAGACCTTCAACTAATAAATAGCAGCCGAATATCTGTGAAAAAAAAAGAGACATACATCTTTGCAATTTTCAGATTTGGAGAAGTGAATCAGATCATCATTGTACATGTCCTGGGTATTAAGCAAGTCGCTATATTCCTTCTGGCTAAGGTCTTCTGGGTTGATTCCATTTGCCCTCAGAAATTCTTGGTAGGCCACACTAAATGCTTGACCTATAGACTGTGCAATCAGCTGCGCCTGTAACAGTTCCCAAAGAAAGGAAAAGGAAAGAAAAAAAGTGAAACATTCTGATGATCATGTCCACAGACACTTTCTGTTACAATCACACTGTAAAATGGATCATCAAGTTGGTGAACCTACAAGTTACTGCAATCCAGTCTAAAAAATATTTGTTCCTTACAAATTTTGAAGACTCACAAAATGTCAACACATTCAGCTCTACCATGAATCTAGCTCAGCAAGCAATTATAAATTACAAATATGAGAAAGACATCCTTTCACAGGTAGGAACTACTAATGTAAGTGTAAAGATAGAGCCACTGCAGCAACTGTGGCTTGCATCTACAATTCTTCCCACACAATTGCCCCCAGATGGCTCTCCCTTCCAGCAAAGGCAATGTCATTGTCTGACAAGCCAGTAGTGAAAATGAAAATGTCTACTAAGGAACACACAACCACATTTAAAAGGGTATTTCCAACTTTTCTTACCAACTTTTATGACATTGATAGTGACTACTCCTACCTCAGCCAAAAATGGAAAAAGGCAGCAAATAGTGACCAGATCAAGCCCTTAAAAAAAAGGGCAGCATGGTCAAAAAATGGTCATTTGCATTTCCTTCTTCACCCTGCTACTACGTTCAGCCTCTATCCCCTATACTTATTTCCCTCCTAAATCACATGATCCTGCCAGTTCTCTGCATCTTTCTTACTCATTCTGGCCTTTGTAGTTAAATGTACACTTCTAAATAGTTGAAAATGTGGTGCTGTCCTCCTTACACAAAGACTCATCCAATCAGAGACATGTTCTGCCCAACACCTACTTGCAGGCTTACAGCTTCTGTTTCACTTACTGTGTAGATTCTGACAAGTACCCAACTGCTCCAGAAGAAAAAAAGACAAGTTTTATAATAAAAATTATATATTATATGAAATAATAAATAAATTTAAAAAAAAAAAAACAGGCAATAATACTTCACTGGAGGTACAAAATGTTTGAAGCTGCCATTTCCTTGCTGCTAACAAGGTGCTGCAGTCCTTCCATCCTTCCATTCTGACTGTTAGTCACTTCAGTATTTAAGATAAATTCAGCAAGTTATATTATGACTATGAAGAGAGGATATAATCTGCAGTTTCTCAGCATATTTTCCCCATCAATGAGCAATGCTTTTGTTGGATCTACAGGCATTTTACAAGCCAGCTGGATTTACGGGCATAAAGAGGATTACACATGACACAAATACAGACTGATTCAAATAAATCATAGATTGGGAAGCTCAAATTTTAGCGCACCAAAGTATCAAGAGCAGCCTAGGAAACAGATCCAGTAAGTATGGATCACGTAAAGGATCAGACCACTCCATGGTGAAGGAAAATAAGCCCCAGACTCTGGCACCTGGCAGTTTGATTTCTGCTTTTTCAACTGGCAGTAAAAGCAATGTCCAAATTCGTGACTAGAAACACAGGAACCCTAGGAACAGCAGCCTCAAAGTAGGTAGCATGTCAAATGTTATTAAGCAAAAAATACATTGGCTACTGCATTTCACGCCAGATTCTTAAAAGGCTTTGCAAAACAGATTTGCATGTTATCCTGTGGAAATAATCCAGAATTTTTATATTCTGTCAATTTTGGTCCAGGATTACTTTCATCAGTGCTCATCCTTACTTTTTAACCTCAACAATGGGTCATGGATACACATTTATGTGCAATAATATATTAATGTGCAATAATATATTCAGATAATATATTCAAACATAGGTTTAGAACAGATTACATAAAATCATTACATAAAATCAGTTCTTTATTCAAGAAAACCTTCCCATCTCAAAGTCCTTGCTGCTCACTCTAGTTTGGAGGACACAGAAGAAACTGGTATTTTCAGTTACTTCTCTTGAGTATATTATTTTACCAGATTATTACAGCTAATTTGGCTATGATCCTAAAAACTACAAACCACATCAATGTAATAAGTTTGATTTTACTTTTCAATTACTGAAAGTTACTTTTTAAAAGATCATAAAATCAGCAAGTTATACACAGATTGTAAAGACAGGAGATCGCATCCTACACCAGGCAACTTAGTCTTGTGTAAAGTACCTTTAACGCGCTATAGATTAAAATTTAGTAATTTGTATATTCAGTATATTTTGGGATTGCTGACATCACAAGCTTTGTTTGCTGGCTTTTTGATATGATGATAGCAACTACAGTTCCAACACAAACCTCCAGAAAAATAAAAAAATCACTTTCCTGGTATGCATCAGTGATTGATCCTCAATGCAAGACTTGGTATTAGAATTTCCCTATGAAAATAAGTACCTCTGATAGACTTTCCCTCTCTTATGCAAAATTTGAGCTGGTATTTGTAACCTGCAGCAAGTGGACCCTCCAATCACTGTTATGGGAAGACACTCAAGAAGCTTTAAAAAAGTAAACATTTCTACAAACACCAGCTTCCTATGACAAGTCATGTCCAAACATATAAATGGCAGGAAAGTTCCTCTGTTCAGACAAAATACCGGGTGCAGTTAAAAAGCAAACAGGATCACTCACAATGGACTTTGGGCCTATCAAAACATGCTTACTTTTCCAGACCTATAAAACTACAAGACAATGTAATTCCTTACATCCTCAGACTCAAAGACATGACAAATCATTTTGTACTGCCTCTTTCCATCTTGAGAGGGGTGAGATGCTTCCACATTATCCTGGGAGTTAGAGCGTGGCATTCGCCTACGAGCCATCAAAACAACTATATTTCCTATATCAGCAATGTAAGAAATGGTCCGCAGGGGATGATCCATCATGGTTTCCTGGGGAATAAGAAAACTAACATAAGCAACTGTTTCAACTAAGTTCTTATTGCACATCTAGTATTATCAAAACACACAAATAATTGTAAGACCTCTGCTAGGTGAAGTCTGTAGTATCTGTCATGCATGAAGAGAGATACAACAGAAACTAAGAACTTCACTTTCCAAAAATAAAACAAACAAAACTTCAGAAGGATTTTTTTTTCTGTAGAAAAGCCCATCAAGACCTCAGTTGCAGAACCTGCACATGCTGAGCTTGTATGTGTACAGGACTATGAACAACTTATTGCAGCTAAGCATTTTCGGCTACTCTGCACACAATCAATACTTGATGTAGCATGGCTCAGAAGACATAAGCTGACTGCAATTACCTTACTCAAAAATTTGAATTATTTCTACAATCAGACAAACCAGAATAATTGCTTGTATGACATGGCTCTTGACCACGGATTTCTGACTAGAGGGAATACAAGACCCAGCACATTTTAAAGACAAATTTTAACATGTACATGAAAGTCTATTCCAATAGTCTACTCCAACAATACTGACAAAAGTGTCTATGTCTATACCTGTGTGTCTGCATTCAGTACTTTTATTCTCTGTGTAGAAATGAACAGGTCCACTTCAGTCATGGGTTGAGATTCACCTTCTGGAGCCTGTAAACAAATGGACTAGAGTCAAGCAAACACATTTGGTAACATATTTACTAATAATGATGTTAGTTCACGAACAGGGGCACACTAAGACACAGTCACCAGAACAGCAATGCAGGATAGAGTATTAGACTGCAGAAGCAAAAGATAAACACAAAGATGTGGAAACTATATCATATATGTGAAAGTGAATTGGATATTGTTTGAAAAAAAAGTTAACGTCATAAAAGCTTGCCTGCTATTTTTCTTGATTCAGTAAAATTATACCTGACTGCAACATAAACTATAAAGATTTTTTTGAAAAGTAATATGATTTTACCATTTTCTGCACACTATGAATCCCACTTCAAATAAGGTTTTCATGTAAGCCATAGAAAGGCATAACAGTATCTCCTGCCTGAGGAATTTCTGTTTGGGCTAGCAGTGGCTGCCAAGACCAATGGAAAAACCTGTACCACAGGAGGTACTATTTGAGCTATTCATAATGCAGTTCTGGCAAGAAGACCTTCACAATCAGACAACATACTTTTCAAGCAGTAACCCACTTAATAAGTAATATTTTGTTAATAGAAAGCAAACATTTGTAATATTTTTAAAATCACATTTGTTAAAAGGTAATTGAAAGTTCTACAAACAAAACGTATTACAAAGATGAGTGAATCTCAGTATATTACTGTATGTATAGACAAAAACTTTTTTTTTGCATCCAGCAATTTGACATCTCTGTGAGTCAAACAAAGCACTCTTACAGAAAGATAAAATTAAAAAAAAAAGAAAAAAAAAAGTTAAAAAACCCAAAACAAACAAAAAAACCCCACACTTCATTTTAATCCATCATTTTACAATGTCTATACCTTTGCCATATCAGTCCTGATTCTTTAATATGCATTTTGGGTACTGCCTGTAACCATTTGATAAATCCAATCTTTCTTCTATTTCTAACATGAAATGGCTAATGAGAAGCAACAAAAAATGGCCAATCAGGCAACTGATTTCCCAGATATGTCAACTTGTATGGTGGCTCAGAAATAAATCTGATAAAACCTTGCTGGATGCAGAAAATAAAACCACAAAATAAAAAGAAAGGGAAAAACCCTCCCGGAAAACAAAAGAACAAGTATAACATCAAGCTGATGGATTTTGTACTGCACCTTCTTCCTGCTTTTGGCTAATTTCTGGGCCATCTGCTTAGCATGGAACAAACAGAGACAGGAGAACAGTTAGAGAAGAACTCCAAGTCAAGCAGGAATCTACAAACTAATGTCAGGGCTCACAGACTACTAGCTGGTCTAAGTTAGTCCCTGCTTAGATTAATTTCCTCCTTTTCTTTTTAGCTTAAAAAATTGTAAAATTTCATGTTTAGCACAATTAATTTCATAAATAAAAAGAAACAGCACCAAAAGAGTCAGGAAGAACACAAAAGGATTTTTTTTCACTTAAAATATTACTTGCAACAAACAAGGTTATTCTTTTTGAGGTTTGGTGGAGAGAGGATGGTTTAAGAAACAGAACAGAGCTTCCCTTCACTTACAGCATTGTAAACCATGAAGTGATTTCTTGTGAAGGTACACCAATATAAAAGGTAGAGAAAATTTGTATGCCTTATTATTACAGGTTTTTCAGATCTCATACTTCTACAGACTTAAAAAAAATAACCTCCCTAACACTATGCTGCTTTTTCCTGGAAAAATGAAAAGACTGAAGGTGACTTTCATTTTAGCCTCCTTATGAGCAAATAAATCTGTACCAATGTTCACACAGTGAATTGGTCAACAAATTTTCCTGTGACACCTACACAAAGATATGTCCACACTATCACATTTTTTTCCAGTAAGCAATGGAGCATGTATTTCAGCTCCAGAAACACCTACTAGTAGACATTTCTACTAACAAACCAAACAAACATAATTTTTACAGTCTTGCAATCATGAATTCAAACCAACAGTGAACTGAAGTTTACAGACCTACTCACTGAAGGAATTCAATACTCACCAGGCTGGCAATTAGCCCTTAATTTCCAACAGTAACAGGCTCTCTGATAATTAAATTTACAGGTGTGTTTGTGGTGGGAAGGAGGCTCAAAGTTAGCACTAGATACTTCTACAAAGAGCAAATAGGAGGCCTGAATCATGAGACACATCAAACTTTTAATACTGATGCTCACAACTTAAATCTGTTAAGTTTTGTCTGAACAAATCTAAAGCAGCTACTTAAAGTTTAGGCCATGCTACTTATTTACAAATAGAAACATTCTCAAAATAGCTATTAGTCACTTTTTTCAAACTAAGAAGTATTTTATAGCCTGATAGATTATTTTGCAACAGGTGATGGCAAACTATTGCAAAAGCATTTAAAACTGCCTTACATGGCAGGTTCTTCATTACTTTACTCTAAATTTAAATTAATACTCAGAAATAATATACTTATATTGAGTAACAGCTGCCTGTTATACACTAGGCAAGGAGGAGATACTCCTGATATAGAGCATTTAGATAGCTTTCCAAAATCAAGTTTTTCTTTCTCACCCTTCCCAAACTTTAGAATGATGGACCTCCCAAAAGAAGAAAAGCACAAAAGGCCAAAATTAAGAAAAGGGGTGGGGGGAGAGAGCGCGGAAATCCTTGAGCTATAACTTTATAGTGTAGAATAAACAATTTATCAAAATATACTATAATTCAATTTACTGAAAATTTTGAAATTTTGTTCTTCAAATGGAAGCATATGAAAGAATTACTTTCAATTATTTCATAAAATAACATAAAATAAGGAAATGATATGGATCAAGCACTTTTAGTAAGTTATTCAACACTGCACAGAAATGTCACAAAAGAAGTTAATGTCCATGAACAACAAAAAATTAGGATAATTCTATGCAAGATACTTTATTAGACAAATCCGCTTTATCACCGCATTATTTTGCTAACTCAAGTCAAAGATTATTTCTGTATTCCTAGGGAAAAAAAAAAAAAAAACCACCAAAAAACAAAGAGAATATACCAAATCCACACAACTTTTTAAAATATATTAGAATACAGGATTTTCATTTAAGGTAAATTAAATGTAGTTATCATATAGATGTAACTTCCAAAATTACATACATTAAAACCCAACAAGCTTCTATTTTTGTTACAGAGAGGTCCTAATTTTATTCAATCAATTTAGTCTCTACAAAAACTCTTCTGCAACTCATTGAGCATTGAGAGGACACTGAGTGTGTAAAAATGTGTGAATCACTAAACTAAATATCCACATATAGGTTTTATCTTAAATTACGTTCAGAAATTAAACCTGCCCCACAGCATGCTAGAAGTGACTCCCAATGAAATATTCCTAACTACATTTGATGAACACCTTCAAAGCAGTGTATCTGTTTTAACTTAGCTGGACTTCACAGAGATGAAGGTCAAGCAAGAAAACACCCAACTCTTATACTTTTAACTGAAAAGACACTTCTTTAAAGAAGAAACCTGGAGAATTGTTTTCAAATCTGTTCACATTCCAAATGAATGAATATGTGGTCTGAAGGCTCTGCTAAAGGAAGCAATTTAGGGATTATTAAATTCAGACAGTATACACTTTTGTTAAGGTATAAATAGCAGGGCTTAAACAAAGCTCTTCACCTCTTTTTAATACTCAACTTCAAGTTTATTTTAAAAGCTCATTCTTAATTCATAAGCTTTGTTTTCTCCAACAATGGAGAAATGGTTGACATGCAACAAGTATGGCACTCTGTAAACAAACATGAGTAGGGCACATCCTTCATAGTCACTGTGAAAGCCATAATTTACACATCTGGAATATGGAATATCTGATGCAGTGATGAATTTGGCAGCAGGAAGTCCATCTGTCATGATGAATTTCTCTCTGAAAACGTTTAGCTTTAATGGCAACCAGCAAAAAAACCAGTCAAAGCTAACCCTAATAAGCCAAGAAGCCTAAAGTGCAGGGCAATTGCTTGTGCTTTACTTAGAAGCAGAAAGCAGTACCTGTCCAAGAAGTCTTCAAAGGTATTGTGTGCAATAAAAATCAATACTTTTCTGAAATATACTGAGTTTCATAAAATTAAATACACCAGCTAGGGTTTCACCAGTTCACAAATGCTTTAACTTGAGCCTCAAGACTGAGACAAATAAGAAAGGATATACATGCCTGCTGATTTATGTAGATGCACAGATCATGCCGTTCATGAGTGAAATGCATTAAATAGATTTCTTCTGTTTTCATGCACAGAAATGCTGAAGCACAACAGAATCCTCAGAACAGTACTCTGTTAATGAATTTCTACAAAATACGTTTCGTATCAGAGAAAGATTCTATACTCTTACACCCCTTAGGCCCAGTTTGAATCAATTTGGTTTTGTTTTTGTCTACTGTATCTCTGCAATCTTTTTCTAATGTGTATTCCTATACAGGTTTTACCTTCTAGGTGCAAACTCCCTGTGGTTCAAGTTCTACTCCTGATAGCTATTTCCTATCATAGCTCATGCTAATCTTTCCTTTTACCCTCCAGTGATGTGACCTTCCTAGATCCAGTCTCACCAAAACCCTTATTTCTCTCCCTTACCTTTAGTTTCCCATTCACTCAAATCAGACAAGTTTTCTAACACACAGCCAAACATCAAGAAGGAACACAAAGAGAATAAACAGAAGGGCACAGCCGTATTTGCCCAGAGCAGGAAAAAAACAGACTCTATAAGAAAAACCCTTCACTGCAGGTTTGGGAAGAACTCACCAACACCTGCCATTGTTGAAAAAGCTGCAAGAAACATATTTTTAAACAATGTCACTTAATCCAGAGTCACAAATGAACAAAGAAAAATCACTCTTTTGTAAAAAGTTCAGTAGTTCAATACAGTGCAGACTTCCACAGAGATGGTGGAGTATAATCTCTAACAGAAAGGCTACATTCCTGCCTTTCTTAAAATGTGAATGTTTATGATTTTCAGAGACAAGGTTCCAAGAACTTATGCATTTGAACACCAGCAAAATCACAATTTTTGGAAGTTGTCTCAATGACTCTATTTGGAGCTTCTGTGTCAAAGTTATATAAAGAGACTAAACTAAATATCTGCCTAAAGTGAACATGGAAAGCAGTGGAAAGAATAAAAGAAGTAGGAAGAATCAGCTGACCTTAACAGACTATTACTGGTCTTGCAGATAACTTTCTCTCCTGAACACACAGATATTAAACTAAGAAAAATTCCCAGAGTAGGTTGTGTTATTAGCTGAATTGGCAGATGATGAAGCTGTGAGTGAGCCTACTAGCCAGTCATGTATGGGTAGTGGGAATGTTGCAGCATCCTATACAACTGTGCAATACTTCATCTAAACACCTTAATTTCACCTGACAATGTCATAATTGTAACTTACAGCACAGCAACATTCCCATTGCTGGAAATAGCTTGTACAGAAATCAGTTGGAATTTCTCTTTTGAAACAAAGATTTTCAGATTCCAGGACAAATTATTTTTTCCACACTTCCCTGTACCATCATAGGTTTTTTTTCTTTTTAAATCAGCTCATAGGTGTTATATGTGGAGAAACAAGTGTCCACAACAGGGTCGAAAATAACTGCACAGTAAATAACTACCACAAAAACACTGCACAAAAATAACTACCACAGTAGCAGTTCCATTGAGTGCCCAGCCAGAAGCAGCCACAATACTTACTACTTATTTCCTTACCCTGTTTTCTCTCCATACCCAGATAATATAAAACTTTGATCACCACTCACTTCAGATTCTGCTTTAGAGTATACAGCACAAGTATCACCATAGAGAATTAAAATGACCTGGTAACATCCCCTTAACAGTTTTGTTCCATAAGCAGCATACACGATTCATTTTTCAAAGGAAAGGTGAGGCACTCTTCGTTCTGAAACTATACATAACCCCATCTGAAAAGATTACTGCATAAGAAAGAAGTTCATATCCACAATCACAAAACAGCCATACAAAAAGCAGCAGAGTTACTCCTCACCTTGATCCTGCTGACAGCTTCCTGAGCCTGCATCATTCTCACATTCTTGGATGGAGTTTTATCAGAAAGGAGTTGAGTTGAACCAAGGTAATTGGCAGCAAAAATTATTCCATCAATTAAGTCTTCAGGATCACAAGGTCCAGGAACTGTAACACAGGAAAGCCATAACTGAAGACAATTACGGTGAAACACAGCAAAAGCAGAACTTCTACAACTTAAGTCTGCACCTCATGGCTGCAAATCCTCCTCTGAAATACTTCAGTTTAGCATGACAAAAAGGCAATCAGTACTTTCAAAGGCACAAAACCTCAAACAAAAGGAAATTTGTGGTGGGTTGAGCCTGCCCACCAAAGCCCTTCTATCACTCCCCTTCTCAGAAGAGCAGGGGAGAAAAAATATAATGAAAGTCTCATGGAACGAGGCAAGAACCAGGAGAGATCACTCATCATTTGCTGTCATGGGCAAAACAGACTCCACTTGTGGAAACTTGTTTCATCTATTACTAATGAAGTCAGAGTAGAATAATGAAAAATAAAAACAGATGCTGCAACACCTTCCCCTATCCCTCCCTTCTTCCTGGAGTCACTTTTACTCTCAATTTTCTTTATCTTCTGTACCCAGAAGTATAGGGGAATGGGGGTTGTGGTTAGTTCATCACATGCTGTCTATGATGCTCCTACGTCATCATGGGGAAGAGACCTCACATTCTTCCTCTGCTCTAGAATGGGATACCTCCCACAGGAGACAATCCTTCAGAACAGACTGCTCTAGTGTGGGCTCCCTACGGTGTCACAAGTCCTGCCAACAAGATTGCTCCAGATGAGCTCCTCTCTCCACTGGGCCACATATTCTGCAGGGAGCCTCCTCCAGCCTGGGATTTCCATGAGGTCATAGCCGGATTTTTTTAGGCTTCCACATAATCTGGCATGGGGTCCTCCAGAGGCTGCTTGTAGGTTCCAAAGAGCAGCTCAATTGGCTAGAGGGGCACAACTGCCTCACCATGGTCTTCACACCACGGGCTGCATGAGAATCTCTGCTCTGGCACCTGGAGCATCTCCAGTCCTTCTTACTCTACTGACCATGTCTTCAGAGATCCTTCTTTTACACATTCCCAGCCCTTTCTTCTCCAGCTGCAGTTGCTGTGGTGCAGAGCCTTTTCCCCCTTCTTAAATACTTTATCCCAGAGGTGCTACCACTGTCACTAATGGGTGCAGCTTTGGCCAGTGGTAGGTCTGTCTTGGAGCCAGCTGGTGCTGCCTCTATCAGACAGGCAGGAAGCTCCCAGCAGCTTCTCATGGAAGGTACCCTCATAGCCACCCCACTACCAAAGCCTTGCTACACAAACCCAGTACAACACTGCTCCAGAAAAACCTACAGTTATTAATCCAGCCTGTTTCTCAAAATAGCTCATTCTTTTATGAGTAGGGCTCAGCTTGGAGCAAAATAACCTGTGATTTTCACTGGGAAAAAGGGACAGACACAGCTACTCAGCTTGCTCCTCACCCACCAAAAACAGCCTTGCAATTCTCAGACCAACAGTCACAAGCAGAAAGAGGAAAGGTGCAGTTTTATAGCAGCCATCAGCCTCTTCTCTTGCTTGTTCATTAACCACAGTTGGTGCAACAGGCAGAACAATCCCCCCGGGAATGCTCTACACATACCACACATCACAGTATTTTTATGCCATAGACCTTTAAAAATAGTAGTCTTAACAAGGATACTGTGGCAAAGTACTGAGTTAAATAAAAATCTTACTAAATACACAGAGTATGGGCTCTCTTGATGGCAAAGCAACACTCTTTGTCTACAGATCCTTAGAGATCCAACACCCATCTACTTCTGTCGAAAGTGACGGGGTGTAAAGTGCACCCAACCAAGCAATGCAAATCCTTACAAACCAGCACTTATGATTTGTAAGATTTTTGGCATTTGCAGCTTTATCTAAAAATTTTATAGATTAAAATATTCCATTTTGACACCACATTGAAACTGATTCATCATTCAAAAGCAAGACTGGTTAACTTAAGAAATTTCCTGTTCTTAGAAGTAAGGGAAAACAATTGTTGTTTAAGACAAGTGAGAATATAAATCATATTAAAGAATGATCACAGTAAATATGTTCACATTTTATCACAAAACACCTGTATCTATGTTTGTATTTCTTTTTTGCTCTAAAATCAAGGGGTACCTTGTACTATAAGGTAATGGGACTTTAAGTTCCAAATTACTAAGAACGACAATTTTGTTCTAATGATAACATGTAAGACTAAACCTCTCAGAATGAGCATGGGTAGCTTTGGCCTCAAGGAAGAGCAAGTCATTATTATGATAAAAAAAAAAAAGAAAGAGCTGGAGACAAATATCACACAAACTATACACATAGACAGAAGCACATGTATAAATCTTGTGAGCAGGCTTAACTTCCTTATTATTTCTTTAAATATGAAAATTTATGACTAGCAATTGTAAGATGCTCATCTCCAGTGTGCAGTTTGCTCAGGCAGTACTAACTCAAAAATTCTAAAAATGAGCAAGTTACTTGCAAGCACATGACCTAAAGAAATTGAGTAATTTCCTTAGGGAAACTCCTGCATCTGAAAGTACTACATATTTACACCAAAATCACACAGCATTTTAAGGGTTGCTATTTATTACTCTACACATCAATTCATCACTTCCAGCACTATACTGAAGAGGTGCAACACCTTTTATAGTACAATTTCTGATCAAAATGAGAAAAAAAAATGGGCAAAGGTGTAAGACCCCAAGAAAGTGCATAACCCCAAAAAGGTACATGCTCCAATTGCATCAGAGGTGAACACACAGAGAGCATTGTTTTTTAGAATACTTCCTCCTTTTATTATCTCTGATAAGAAAACTATTATCTCAATGAAAACATAGCATGGCAAACTTTTCCTTGGACTACTGGTGCATAAAAATGGACCATTTGTAATTTTAAGAAATTTTGTGCTGGACCAAAAACCAAAGAAATTGTAGTGTACAATTGATTGTTTTTTCCTAAGGTGGAGATAATTTCTTTTAAAATATAGATATATATTCCTATATATAAAATAAAGTCCCTTGATAGACAGGACTATCAATAGGAGATTAATTTAAATTCTAGGACAGAGCCCTCATTGTTGCAAAATTCCAATGCTTAGCTATGAACTAACTGACATTCAAGCCAGAGAATCTACATCAGGCAGCTTAAACTCTGAAGACTAAAACAACAGTCGATTTGTAGTCTAAAGAAAATGAGCACATTCTCAATTAAACACAGTACACTGTAAAGCAATCCAAGGAGTGACAAGGAAGTCCAAATGAAGTATTACATCAACAGTATTTCTAGAATTTCATCAAGCACATGGAACGACTACTGTCAAAAGAAAAGTAAAAAAAGAAACAACCAAAACAATGAAACTTTTATTTTCTGCTTCTGTCATAACTGCACACAACTTGTGTTCCTCCTGCAGTATACACAGGATACAGACTCATACAAAAGGCAACAGCAGTTCATGTGGCGGGTAGCTTGCTTTTTCACATTGTTCCGAAAAAACTCAGAACTACTGAAACCTTAACTATGAGATGGGAAGCAGTGTTCAGGTAAGCAGCTAATAGCTGTTGAACAAAGCAGATTTTTACTGGCCCGCCTGCCCGTAAATTCAGCTGAGCTTAAGATTGAGCCTGCCAATTGGAAGTTAATGCTGGACAGAGCACTATAGTCTTCTTGCTTAGTCTGTTTTCCTTGTCTACACATATTCTTATGTGTTGTGTAAATACCATAAAGAAAGCAGTATCTTAAGCGATACTGAGGAAAAACACCTGCATAACTGTTACAGAAACAATGAATGAAAATGAATAAAAAACAAAATGCTCCATGCTTCCAAATTTCTGAAGGAGCATAGTAGGATATAGCTCAGGTTCTGAATTAGACACAATTTAATCTAAATCAGGACACCCAACTTTAGTAGATTTTCTATTCAGCAATAAAAGTAAAATTTTATACATTATAAATACAGATGGGTTTTTTGATGTGAAAAAAACATTTAGAAACTGTAGAACTATCTTACCTTCAACATATGTTGGAAATGAAGCCAAGCTTTTTCTGGACTGTAATTAAGACAAAAAGGATTTCAAACAGAACATAGCATGCACAAAAATGCATTAGAAATTTCTCCATGCCAAAAACCCCCAGACTTAAATAAGCAATAGTTACTAGTATAGATAGAACCAGTTATTATTATTTATATTTAGTATTTTCAAGATCTAAGTACCTACTAGAGTAAATTCAATGTATTCCTTTTGTGTCTATTTAGTAGACAATATGGTAAGACCATTTGGTCTTCACTAGTGCATTAATTATCTACCAATAGGTGGACTACTTTTAATAATCAAGAAATATGGAGGAATGTATATAATACCTCAAAGATACTGGATCTTCCAACTACAAATAACTGCATACAGGAATATAAAAATTGTACTTTACTGCTATAATTAATTACTTAAACCATCATTAACAGAACACAGTTATTCATTAAGAAATGGTTTTAGATGTATCCCTTATATTAACAGTGCCTACAAAAAGCTTTCTAGATTTTAAAAGGTTAAGGAGCAGACTCTCCTCTGTTATCTGGGATAACCAGATTCACCATGACCTCACCACCAACTGTGCTTACATAATTTTGAGCACAAAACCACATTTGGTAGCACCAATTACATAAATAGTGAAGGAATAAATATTATCTTGAATTGTGTATGTAAATACACACACTAAAGTAATACCATACATCCTACTGGTATTTTCTGTGAAAGACTATGGGACTAACCCTTCAGATATCTGACAGCTACAACTTTCAGTGAGTGAGATTCACCACTTTGTTCAATTAATAACGTAAACCATATACAAATATTTATCAAACAAAATTGTGTGTGGCACTATATAATTGGTAATGGATATATTGAAATACCTGCTGCTATCATAGGCAGGTAAGTGGATAGTTAATGAATCTGTAACTGATTGTACTAGCAATAAGTCCTCCAATGACTGCTTAATATCATTATACTAAAAGAAAATCTATATAAATGATCAGAATAATGCATAAAATCTTGAATAATTTTCAGCATTTTTCCAGATTATATACATGGAAATACATGCCAAATTACTTTTCTTTATAACTGGCAACTTACCAGGGTCTGTGTAATAGTGGAAAACCCAGGTAAAACTAGAAAGATGACAGTTATGTAACAGGTTGACTGACTTAAACCAAAGGAGTCTTCTCCTTTGTCAGATATGGAAAATTGACATAAATAATATTTTTAACCAATGATGCATGTCTTGCAAATAAAATATGAGAATTAAAAACGAAAGCATGTAGCACAGACAACTGAGCCTGTGCAAACTGTAAGTTCTGTTCATTCCCTAGGAAAATTACTAAGCTGTGTTGAGAATCCAAGAATCCTGTCCATGAGGTTCTGTACTAGCATTGATAAAGATGTCAATAATTAATGATCTGCTGCTGCCAATGCATTTCAGCTGCTGTGAAGACACTGACATACCTTTTCACATCTGTGGCTCCTTCACCTCTTCAGATGAATGCTCCTACTGAACCAGCTACCCATATAAACTCCAACAACTGTTTGTAATAATTGCTGATCTAGTGCTAAAGGCAGCATTCAAACATTGGGCTCTGACAGGCACAGAGGACAAATCCCCCATGAACAAGAGGCAGCTCACATACATGAATACTTCACAAAGTATTTATTTCTTTCTAAGCAGTGAACAAAATCTTTGATACAGATTTAGCAACTGTTCAGCACTCTTAAATAGAAATTTATTTTCACGACAGAGTGGTGCATCATATACGTCTTTATTTTCACACACAAATATAATTTTTTTTGTTCATTACCCAGGTAGAAAGGCATTCTACTAAAATGATTAAAAGAGTAAAGTAACAGGTAAAGTTACCAATAGGTAGAAACCTACACCTTTTAATTTTACATGGCCATGAATAATGAAATATCAAGGTCATTAATATTTTATTACTTTCAATAATCTTGCTGCCATCTGGTATTATAAATTTATATTTAATAAAAAGATTTCTCTAAGACCTAAAAATCCAGAAATTATGAGGCTGTTTTATAACTTTTATTCTCGCATTACAAATACTAAAGCGGGACTTATTCCCCATCTGAGAGAAACTAATAGCCCAATACATTCTACACTGAAACCTGGTTTACAACCTCTGTAATTATGTGTAAGCACATCCTAACAATGGAAATCAACAGTGTTTTGTTTGTTTTCTTTCTTTCTTTGGATTAGTTTATTGATACCTAAAAATAGCTAAAATATAGAATACATAGTGCCAAAGTCTGTAGTGAAGAATGCTTAAGGCTTTAATAAGCTAACAGTAAAGCAGATGAAAACTTAAAGGTATGATCTATAGTCAAAAACTTCAGAATATGAAAATGCAAATGCAGACTGGCACAATTACATACATGTTACAAGCTTTTCTATCCCTTGATAATTGCTAAAGTATAAAGGAACAAATGGATTATTTAATTAGTGTTTAATTTTTAATCCACTTATAGTAGATCAGGTTTTTAATTCTGGAAGATAACTCATCCATTGCCACCAGTAACAATAGGGTATTTTGTTACGGTAGTTGCTAGATTGTTTTCATGTTTGTGAAAAAAAGGCAAATAAACCAAATTTTTGGTAGATTTTTCTGTTTACACAACCTGCCACTCTATACTAATCCAAATCCTTTTTATGTCAAATAATTTTCTTTTCACACTATGAGCAGTTCTATTCACACTTATTTTGTTTTGGTGTAACTACTGCAGTCTAAAGCACTACCAGGTGAGGGGAAAGCCCCAAACTATGTAGCTTTATTCTGAGAAGCCTGGAGTCCGGAACTGAATTCTGATTAAGAATCGCTTGCAAGCCAGTTTCTACAATGACAAAATATTAAGAAACATAATTTATTATGTAATAACTTAATTCAAGCACTTTTTCATCTGGCTGACAAATACTCTTTATTAGTGGGGGGAAAAGGAAAATTTTTTTTTTTTTTTTTGTCTCTGCTACAGAGGGGATGTTGGCTGTTTGGTAAATCAGTACCCTGCAGCCTGTTAGACAAATTTAATGACAGCTGAACACAAGAGTCAAAAATGCCATGACAAAGAGTCTTCAGTATGTTAGAAATGCAGTCAAACAGCCAGGCAAGCATAAGGTAAAGAAGCATGAGGGAAAAAAAAAGAAAAGGGATTGCATAGTTACAAGGGAGCAAAGAAAATAAAAGGCATAAGCAGTATGAACCAGACTGTGGCCTTTATAAAGGTTTTACTCTACCTCTTTATTAGTGGAAGCCTCTGCTGTACTGCAGACATCTTGGTGATGTTGTCTGCTTGATGATTCAGCACCTCGAGGTGAAGAGGAATCTGGAGATGGAGACTAGACATTGCAAGAAAATCAAAAGTTATTGTGAGTGCTTGATGTAGAAATTATTCTTTCATTTTCTGCATCCTATGCTTTGACATTCTAAGAAAGAAAAGGCAAAGTCACTTAAGAGTAAGCTGTGATGGGAGACAAGTGAATTGACCTTAAGCAGCACACAGGGATTCAGCTAAAGTTTATTTATTTGTCAAACCAGGAAAAATTAATAGAAGACTGAAATTTCCCCATAAACACACAGGCCCATCAGGTATTATTAACCTAATTGCTAAACTAATCTAATCTGAGCAGAAGAAGGTCACAGTGGCTGACCATAAAAGTTATTTCATTATCTTAGAATATAACTTTTATAAACTGTGCAGAGCAATATTCATGTATTCAAGAATGTGTTAATTTATTCAACAACAATTCAATACCAGTGTAATCAAGGACTGGGATTCCTCAATCTAGATACAGTAAAGACTTGAAAAATATTAACAGTTCATGCTATCAGCTCAGTACATGCTCTTTAGATCAGATTTCCTCATTCTTCTCCTTTTTCCATAAACAATTCAGTGGAGAAATTGTCTATGTGATTGATCAACAAGTATCTTGATAAAGGGGAAGAACATTTTGGGAAAGGATATTCTAATCACAGACAATGCCTAATAAATTCTGGTGATGTGAAAAAGCTGTAGCAAGGCATCTGAAGTACAGAGCTGGGGATCCTGGTATGAGGGTGCGACACAAGTACCAGAATGTGGAATTAATAAAGGTAACCAAAATGAAAGAGAGTATAAAGCTTTAACCCAGCAGGCATTTTTAGAGGCAGGTTTTAAGGAGATACCTACAAAACATGTCTGCCCAAGCCAAAATGGAAATCCTCAAAAGGGAAGTTTACATTTACCTACAGCTGGGTATTTAGCCCAAAAGCCCTGCCATTCTACACTCTACTTTAGCATAGGAAGAGTGCAGCTCAAGCTGTGACAGCTCAACAGTTCATCACTGATGGCAAAACAAGTCAAATGCTATTCTTATCTTTTCATAAACAGTATGACATAGCTTTTCTCTGAGCCAATGAGTCATATCAGAAAAGGGATACATTTCCAGCGGACTGAGCTGGCAGCAGCTCTACCCGCATGCTCTGCATTTACTGCAGCTGAAAAATTGAGTTCCACGAAATAGTCTACAAAAAACCCACAAAACCGAACCAAGAACAACAACTAAAACCCCAAACATCTAAGTTTGTCTTAGCCTCCCTTACATATGAAATTAAACAAGAAAACACAACTCCCTTCTCCACTTTTTTCTCTTTAAAGACATTCCTCTATCTCAGATAATAACTAAGTATGAAAATTATAGTTAACTAATATATATTTCCTAAGCGTTAAGAAGCAATTCTTTAAAGATATCTCCCATGTTAAAGAGCAGACCCTGCATCTCTCCCTGTATTTTGAACCACAACTGCAAGACAGAAGAAGATGCAGCTGTGAAACAATCCCTAGGAAGCTGGCATGTAGTTGCACCATCAGACTGAAGAATTACTTTCCACACAAAGCACATGAGCAGGGGCTGTGGGAGAGATACAGGCTCCCTTGAGTTGCTGTGTAATTACTAATCAAGAGTAACACAGTGATGCAACTGCACAAATAGCAACTTCTGTTTACATAAGGAAGAGTTTTCATGGTGTTCACATTCTTATTATTATGTAGTATTTATGGATTAGGAATAAATTTTAAAGCTGCATTATACTTTCAATGCACGAATGATATCTAGACATTGTAGCATTCAGCTTTAAACAAGAAACAAAGAAATCAAATTAAGCATGTGATATGCACGTGCAAACACACAAAAGCGTTCTTTATAATGGCTGAAAACTCATATTCACATACTGAAGGATAAAGATTAATGATTTCATTTAAGCCAGACAATTAGCATTAAGAAATGGTGCATTATTTGAAATGTACTAGCAGTTACTCCAGTAGCACTATAAGTGCCTTTCCTCAGGTACTTTTATCTATGAAGTATTAGAACTAAGTTATTACCTGGCTTTCTGTGTGGTCTGTATGAATGTCTGCTCAAATATGTGTTTTGGGGGAGAAAAACCTCTGAAAAACAACAACCAAACAAACAACCCCCCTCAAAACCAAACCAAGAACTAGAACTACCAAACCCAAATATCAAATGTGTTACAAAGTCTGGTGCATGACATGACATGAGAACTGTCCTTGAAAACATTTGTACAGGAAGTCCAGTCCTTGAAGAATTAACACTCAGTTCTCTTTGACATGAAAATGAATTTTTAGAGGTACTGTATATATAATGTGCAAGGGAAGAATTCAGTCAAAGCAATAACAAGAAATATTTTGATTGATCATAGTGGATAGATAATTTGCACAGCTGCTCTAAACAAAGTCTAAAATAAAGGCTTAGTGACTGTTTCACTTCCATTTGTCATTAACAAAACAAGTTTTAGAAGCCTAGCAAAGTTGTCAGAACACAGTAAGGTCACACGATGCATGCTGTTATTAGGCACAGAGGTCTATCAGTGGAATTAGATGGAATTTTTTACATGCAGCAATAAAAAAGTGATAGCTATCCCTTTTTCTCTTGAATATCTACTTACATTTTTCTTACAATACTCAACCTGGTACATCCAAAAATTCTCCATCTCAATTTTGATGCTGACTCGAACAAACATGCAATCCACTCCACCTGAGAAACCTTCTTTGCTCTTGTGTAGAGGGATTTAGTAACAGAACTTGTAAAAGGAGAGGATTGTGTTGCATCTAACCTATCCAGGTCAATCAGCTGTTTCCTATACAGTTTATTAAGAGACATGTAACTGACACTGAAAAACTAAAACTGATAAAAGCAGTGTTGTTTTATGTACTTTTACCACCAGATCATTTGAAGAGAGTACAGCTTGAGGGTCACATAGGCTAGGACAGAGAGGATGAAATCATAGAATCATAGAGTCATATAATCATAAAGATCATCTAAATTTTACTGCCCCTGCCATGGACACGGACACTTTCCAATAGACTGAGTTGCACAAAGCCCTATCCAGCCTGGCCTTGAACGCTTCCAGGGATGTGGCACCTGGATAAACTGTGCCAGTGCCTCACCACTCCCACAGCAAAGAATCTTTCTTTTTATCTAATCTAAACCTACTTTGTCAATTTGAAGTGGTTCCCCCTTGTCCTTTCAATACATACCCTTGTTTTTCACTGACCAGTATCCCTAAGTCCTTACCTGTAGAGCTGCTTTCAATGAATTCTTCTTCCAGTTTGTGTTTGGGATTGCCTTGGCCCATGTGCAGGACCTGGCACTTAGCCTTGATAAATTTCATGAGGTTCTCACCGGTCAGGTCTGCCTCTCAAGCCTATAATATGTCCCTCTGGATGGCAACCCTTCCCTCCAGCGTGTTGACCACACCACTCAGCTTGGTACTGGCAAAATTGACAAGGGCACATTCAATCCCACTGTCCATGCTGCTCACAAAGACGTTAAACAGCACTGGTAATTTTTTGTTTTGAAAAAGGTAGTTGATTCAGAGCTTTTTTATAGGACCATGTGTGTGGAAAAATCAACAAATGCTTCAGAAATTCAAGATTCACATAAACAACAGGACATTATTTATTTGACACTAATGTCTACCTACAGGCATTATGGCACAGGTATGGCAAAGTCTCCTTATACATTAGGTCAGGAAACAATCAGATAAAGCAAGGCTTTATTTTTTTTTTTTTTTTTTTAAGAAACAGTGCTCTGGAAAGAACCCATAAACATTAGGAAAAGGTCAAAGCACTATCAAATCTTCAAGTTCAACACACAAGTGTAGTCAGGTGCATTCTATCACAAGAACTGCCTTTATCAGGACAACTACGTCAGTAAATCTCCCAGGTTTTAGACCAACTATATGATGGCAGTGACCTCTCATGTATACAGCTCAAATTCTGTTCACTAAAATACAGACTGAGACCATAGGTTTTAATTGGCATAAATACCCATAAAGAATGAAGCTAAAAGCTAATTATTATTAGTTGTGATTGTTGAAAATTTGTTTTAAGTACAGTGGGCTTGATAAAAATGATACCAACTTAGCACTTTACATATAACTGCATACTAAGGCACAATGCATGCAATTCAATTTATAATTCTGACATATGGATTTAACTTTGTACTGTAGTTCTGGTATAACTGCCTCTGCACACACCCCATGCTCTTACCCATCTGCTGGGCCCAGGACCTGCCCCCCGTTAGTTTGTGCATACATGATAGGACAAGATGACCTGAGACAAGGTTACTGGCTGAACTGCTCCTTTGGAACAACACATCTGAATAACTGCTATAGGACCTCTCCATAGAAGAATTTCAGGCAGCCTAAAGAGATTCCCCCAAAAGGCTCCTCCTGTGCCCAAGACAACTGATAAGCACCATTTATCACTTTAACTACCATCTTGGGTAGTTCACATCTAAAGTGAGGAGCTCTATCACAGGCAGCTGTTGGATCAGGACTCTGACTGACCCAAGAGCTGACTCATACACATGCTGCCACAGAAATGACCAATTTGTTTATAGGTAAGACACTTGCTGCCTATGCAGATAACATCACGTACAATAGTTATTACACATTTAATGAAGGAGGTGTTTTGTATGTAGCTTAAGGTAAACGACAGCAATGGATCAGACATGCTGCAGTGATCACATAGGATCACAGACCAACTGAATCTAAGAACAAATGCAGTTTGGAAAGTCTTGGTTTGTGGAACTTCTCCTGATCCAGGTGATGATGTCCTGCAAAGACAGAGACTCCCATCACTTACCACCATCTGGACAATGAAAAACAATCCCATTTGAGGATATGACTCAGTGCTGGCTGCTTCTCTGAGTATGCACTTCCTTTGCTATAGTTTCACTTCAACTTCCAGTGCAGTTTTATGTGTCAGTCTGAAAAAATCACTGTAGGTTTCTCCTGCATGTTCAGAAGATTTTACCTATATCAAGTGCTGTTTTAG